ATATATGGGTGTGTGGGTGTGTATACATGTGTATACACATAACACACACAATTAGAGAAGAGGGCATGACTTCAAGGGGTGGGGAAGATACAGAAGGAGTTAGAGAGGGAAAAGTAGAAATATACAGTGTATTCATGTATGAAATTATCAAATAAATCTTCAAAGACTGTAGGAAGTGATAAAGCACAGAAGCGTATGCCCTATCATGAAGCTTTTCTAGAACAAGCGAATTTAGTATACTATTGAGAAAGAAGTTTATAGACAAGAAAAATAGATTTTGTAGAGCAAGTTTGTTGAAGAAAAATTACCTGTAGACCACAGAAAGCATACAGGATTAAAAGAGAAAAGGAGAGGGGATGCAAATGAATTGAATGAGGAAATTAAAAAGATTTTGATATAAGTCACAGTTCCATCAACATTTTAAGCATGACGGATTTGTGAATGGGACAGGGTAGAATATAATGAATGAGCTTCCCCATAAAAGCATCCTTAAATAGGGAGAAAGGGAAATATTTCTTAAAAGAAAACAGTAATATAAAATTTGAGAAGATATTTTCATACCTTAAAACTGCAGTAACCGAACGTCATGTGGTTGAATGTACTCCACCAAATAAATCAGGGTGCTTGATGTTCACAGGACTAATGAAGATAGGTAGCTATTCAAGGCCACCATTCAAGAGACTAAGGGAGGAAAACATGAGAGGCAAGGGGCATTTAGCAGTGCAAATACTACCACATATGAGTACTGACTATTGCTGGGAAACAGGTCTGAAGCAGGACAGCTTTTATCTGTTCCTAAAATTCAGAAGGATAGATAGAGCAAACAGGATTTTGGCTAGGATTCCAACAAGAGTGACTGAAGAGGCAAAAAAGGAAGTCTTACAGAACATACTCAGTAAGGTATTTAGTAGAGAAGTTTGGATTTAACCATAAGGATGACAAGAAAGATAACTATAATGCAAAACAAAGAGGCAACTTTAGAACTGGACAAATGGAAAGGGACAATACATGTAGGGATGAGAAAGGAATACACAGCAAGCTTTCTAACAGAGCACAGAGGCTGGCGAATCCCAAGGCCTGGAAATTAATGCTCTAGAAATGGGGTGGAGTGAGGGTGTTGATAGGATATGAAAGTGTAATCTCTTAACTGTCTAACTTTAAGACATGATGAGTCATGGGGTCATGATATTATGGTTTACAGAAAGAAGAAAGTATAAAATGATAAAACTGTGAGGTCAGTGAGCATCTTTAGGCCGTAATTGAAATAAAATGTGCACTAATGAAGGACAAAGAACTTTTACCATTCTTCAGGTATAAGGCCACAGACTAGTTATTTACTCTCTCTCAGGTCCCAGTTTTATCTTTTATTTAATACCACATCTTATTTTCACATACTAACCTCACAGACTACTGTGAAACTAATATTACAAAGAAGGAAAAAATGTAACTGGTAATGTACCATACTTATTCATTAAGATGAGTATTCAGAGTGTAGCAACCTCAAGAATCTCAGTTGAACTTCCTTTTATGTTTCACACAAACGAATGTATATTATGTCCACATACAGGTATATTAATAAGTTATCATAAAAGGGAGTGCTCTTCTCTATGAGAGTAAAAAAAATAAACATTTCAATTTTAATAGCAATTAAGAGGAATTTCACATCCTGAGAATCATTCCAGACCCTATGTTTAGCTGAAACTTAAATACAATAAACTTATCCATTGCCAAGGACTAGTAATTCCCAAGGCTGAAAGGCCTCAAAATGTTACTAACACTCAGGAAATAATTTACTTATATTTATGCATATACAAGCACAGAATATGGTAACTTTTGAAGGAAAAGTTACATAATTATACATGAGTACAATTATTTCAAATAAAGCTTATATGGAACTAGGAAACTAGTTTGAGATCTTAGAGAAAAGAAACAATGTCACTGCCATTCCTAAATAAATTCTCAAGAAGACCCATCAAAAGTCCTTCCATTTGTTATAAAATACTGGGTGATTTGAATAAACCCTCCCATTGAAGCTAAATAAAAGAGTTGGACAACACATTAAAAAATGGCTTTTTTTAAAGGCCTATCTGGATAGTACTTTGAGATCCAGGAAAGCATTAGAACTCTGAAAACTACGGGTTAAACTTTACATAGCAGTCTGATAAACCACATCCACAAAAGGGAAAAAGCCTCTTTCCCCACCTTCAGCTTGGAATCATGAAAGGCTGTACTTTAAAAATAAATGTAAATCAGAAATTAATCACTGCATACAATGTGGTCTTGAGTCATCTGCTTGATCCTGGACATCTCAAAAACTATGACTGTAGGATTTGGACTCAGTGTTAGAATGAATAGAATGAATGCTTGCCTAGCATGTACAGGCCTTAGGTTCAATCCCTAATACCACCAGCACAAAAACAAACCAAAAAAACAAAAAAAAACAAAGAAACAAAAAACTACCACCTGAGCTTTGGATATTTGATTAAGCAATGCCTGTACTTCCTAAAGCAAATTAACGCGCTCTCTCTCACTCTCTCTCGCTCTCTCTCCTCTCTTTCTCTCTCTGTCTCCACTCATAATGTTTTTTTAAAAAAATGAATCTGAGGGCTGGAGAGA